GGTCGTATTACTGTAAGCCATGCATTTCGGAAAAAAAACAAAATGAAGCATTTCGAGCTGAAATTCAATCTATAGATAGATTTAATAGTCATTATGTAGTCCTGAAAGTTTCAACGAAAACAAACATGTCTTTCTCGAGATATTCAATTTAAAAAGAAAACAGGTGTTTACCATAGAAGGGCACAATAATCGAGTTTAGTTGGACATTGAATATCTCGAGAAAGACATGTTTGTTTTCGTTGAAACTTTCAGGACTACATAATGACTATTAAATCTATCTATAGATAGAATTTCAGCTCGAAATTCTTCATTTTGTTTTTTTCCGAAATGCCTGGCTCACAGTAAAACGGCCATAACTCTCAATTACAAGGCTATGGGCACGAATCCCTTTAGGCTTTTTCTTATCCCAATATACTCTATCGAATGTGGTATAAATGAATCAAAACAGAGCGGATCACTTGAGAATGTTCCCTCGTAAGACAGTGCACAATCACCGTTACGTTTCTAATCTATGCATAGCTGAAAATCATTCTCCAAATATGAGAACTAAATTTTTCAAAGTTATAATTAATTCGATGGTGAAAAACAAAAATTCAAATTCATACTTGTCCATAAAATCTGCTACTTTCGTATCTATTATTGCACTTGATACTTCACCAAGTTCACTTAATATTTGATAATTAGCACTAAGACCTTTTTTATCTGCATTTTTTCGTTCAGCACAAAATTGACTTAAATCATTCATATCACGATGAAGTTTAGCTGCACAACGTTTTCTTGCTAAACAAAATACAAATGTATCCATATCATCTTTATTATAATCCATTGTATAAACAATTGTATCATTTATTGATTTAATTAATGCAGCCAATGAATTAAATAAACATTGTCGTTTTATAAAACGTAATTCAACAAGCATACTATCAATTGATATTCGACCACTACACCATAATATATATAAATTTTCTGATTCTTTATGCATAGTATCAATTTGTTCATCTGATGAAGTATTTTTAGTTTGACCATTGTCACCAACAAGAGAAAAATTTCTCTGAAGTAAATCACGTTGTGAACGAAAAATAGTTGTAGCAAGTTGAGAATTTTTTGTACGACCAATAAGAAAATTAATTAAATAACCAAGAAGAGCAATCATCATTATTGCTTCACAATAATATGCTTCCCAACGATTACCTGTTAAATTAGCTGGAACTTCAGCTATTTTAAAATCAGGTGTTGATGAACTTGATGATTTAAATGAATCAGACTAAAAATTTAAGATAAATATCGAAATATTATACTTATATCAAATATTCTAATGAAAGTGTTATTATGAAATAAATGCGAAAACCTCGGATTTAAATCCGAGTGTTATGTGTACTGCGAAAAGTGAAGAGATATATTCACTGTTTTCTATTAACTGAGCCATATTTAGCCTATTTGCTTTTTGC